AGAATATGTAAAGAGGTTTTTGCGAGTTCCTTTCTTTGAAGTATAGTCTATAGCACCTGATATTTGTTGGCACCTTCCAATCCAAGTACCATTCAGGGCTGACCCAGTTTAGCTTACATGGGTTCTGGTACCTTCAGGGTATTTAGGCTGTTGTACTGTTTAGATCAATTACTTTACAGAATTGCCCTATGAGAATTCAGCTCTCTCGGTTTTTCTCTTTTTCTGTGTATTCTTGAGCCTGCATGTGTATACATATTCATAAACAAATGATGATATATGCTAGGCTAGTGCATATGGTGCAGATCCCTTTAAGTCTCATAAGTTATTTGGAAGTACAGCACTTCCGAAGTGGGTTCCAACATTAAGATTTTGAACCATAGGAAGCCATTGATTCTAATGGCTCGGATTCCTTTGGAAGTAGCTGTGACACAGCAAACATTCAAAGGGCAACCAAGCACCTGCTGAGAGGTGAAGTCTAATTTGTGGGCTTGCCTCCCAGCCAATCAGGGGTTGCATAGGAGGGAGGGGGAGGCTTTTGTGGAGCAGCAGAATGCACCGTAGCAAGCCTCATTCTTGTTGGGAAAGGGACCAAAAAGGGCAAAGTTGGCTGGCAAGGCAGGGAGGTAGGAGAACATTAAGGGAGAAGGAGAAGAGAGAAGGAAGGTAAGATAGATAGATAGATAGATAGATAGAGAGAGAGAGAGAGAGAGAGAGAGAGAGAGAGAGAGAGAAAGTAGTCAGAAAAGCAAAGCAAAGCTGGAAAAAAGGAGAGCGAAAATTGTCTTCCTCTGGGATGGGTAGCGAGCCTGGGCTTTCAGGCTTGGATGAAAAGGCTTGGAAACTGGTTTTTATTAGAATAACAATTTAGTTTAAAGTTTAATAGTTTATTTTTTCAGAATAGCAAGCTGCCTTTAGTTGGCTGTGCTCCCCCAAAGTCTTTTTAAAAAAAGTAGTGTTGGCTGCTTCTAGAGAAAAGCTTCTTTAACATTTTAAATTGAACTATATTTCATTTTTGTCTAGTTTTAATTTTTTGTTATATTTTATTTGTAGTTAAAAACATTTGGAAGGGGTTAGTCTATTATTTCAGTCATTATCATTAAAAATACAAAAGAGTGACCTGTATGTACGTGTGCATGCATGCTAGCACTTTTTTTTCATGTCAGAAGCAACTTGCTTCTGGTGTGAGAAAATTAGCTGACATTGCCCAGGGGATGCCCGGATGTTTGATGTTTTACCATTCTTGTATGAGGCCTCTCTCATGTCCCTGAATGGGAAGCTAGAGCTGAAACAAGAGCTCGCCCCACTCCCCTGATTCGAATGGCCAACCTGTTGATCAGCAGTCCTGGTGGCGCAAGGGTTTAACCCATTGTCCCACCTGGGGCTAGCACTGAAAAACCAAGAAGCCACAATTTAATAGTCTTTAAAGTAACACTCTCTTAACCCAACCTAACAAATCAACCACTACAACGCCCATTTTTCAAAAGCTTTTTGTTTTTCAAAAGGTTTGATATACTTTTCTATCAATATTACATCTGTGTGACCTCTGTCTGTTGTGAAAGTAACACTGTCTCAACCAATACAAGGCCCTTTGCAAAAGCTTTCTGATGTTCAAACAGTTTGATGTATCTTCTATCAGTACTACATCTGTGTGATCTGTGTGAGTAGTGCCATCATGTCTCTGGAATGAATCTGTTGGCTTGATCCAATTAATAAATTTAGAGGCATGTTAATAATTTATTTCTTAATTTAGAGGCTGCATGCCATGCCCATCTGTTAGTACAGTTTTGATGGTGCCCTTTTGCCTGGAAGAAGGGAGTTAGACTGGTTAGCCCTAGGAGTCCCCTCCAACTGTAGGATTCTATGAGAATAGGGAATTGGTTGATATTGGTTTATTCTATAGGTCAATATGAGAGACATTCAATGTTAAGCTTTAAAAAATGTTTTTGTGAAAACTTCTAAAAATTACCATAAATTGGTAGATGTATGAATATTTCTGAAAGTTGGGGGCAATGATCCCCCATTAACTTGTGTCATTCTCTAGAAAATTCAAGGAGGGAGTTCTTGTATTTTTTTAATAAATGCATTTCATAAACTTTTTAAAAATTTCCTAAAAATCAGTGGATTACCAAAACATTCAGAAATTTGGTGGGTGAAGAGTGAGGAATGTGTTGTACCACTGTAGCAAGTTTCATAATGATAGCTCAGAAAATGAGGGAGAGAGAAGCCCCTGAAGTTTCCCCATTGACAGTGATGTTTTCCCTATTGTGCAATTGCAACCGCCATTAATGAAGCAATTATGAAGATTCATATGTTTTGTTAAAGTTCTGAAATTTTCATTACCAAAAATGCAGAAAGACTTTAGAAACAAAGCACCAGCACCTCCTAGTTTTGTAAGTACTTTAGAACCATTTTTATGGATTGCAAATGCCTAATATATACTATTGTGTACCTTTCTGGCTTCATATACACTTAGATCATACTACTGATATGTATTAAAGCTGATGAATTACCTATCACTTTGCATGTTTAAATCTGGAACACAATAAGATATACTCAGTGTTCCAATTTTCATTATTTCACTAGTTTCTATCAACCAATTTTTTAAAGGGAAGAAAACGACAAAATCCCAAGAAGTCTTACACAGTTTATACATTTTCCTGCAGGCTTTCAAAATCCTGCTTGATACTAAAAGGAGGGAGCGGGGGAAAGTCTTCATGTTTTCCTGCTGAGAGAAGGCTTCTTGAAGTGACAGGAGCAAAGCCTCCAGATACAGCCAAGCAAGCTCACTGTTAATCACCCCTTAATGCCTGGCTCTGGTTCATGTGATCCTAACAAGCATTTGAATGGTCCCTTGGGCTGAACTGCATGTTCATCCTTTGCCACAGGAGGAAAAGTGCCCTTTCTCTGCCACATTGTTGAATTCCTGTCAGGATGTAAACTAAGGGCTTATTTAGAGATATATGGGATTTACTGAGCAGTGTCAGAGTGTTAGTGGGACTGTGCCAGCTGGTTGGTTGAAATGAAGGCAGATTCACAAAGTATGTATGTAGGGCCAAGTGCAGATCCTATTGAAGTCCATGGCACAGCTCCCACTTCCTTTAATTGGATTTAGATCAGGTCCTTGGCACATTTTCATATTAAAGCACTTCCACAAATGCTTTTTTTTCTTAATGAACACAATTCCTTCATAAGCTGGTTTAAGATGTTCAAGGTTTAAGATTACAGAGGGAAAGAAAATGTAAGGACACACTGCCATGAAGACAGAGTCATTTGCTTTGTTTTACCAAGATTGCTAGTCATAGTGTATTTGGATTAGAATTATTCTCTATGCTTATATAAGATTGAAAGGTAAACGATGGTCAGTTTTAAATATTTCCCCTGTAGTACCTGTTGATGCCTTATTTTGCTATGCTGTCAGTTTAGGTCAAATAACTTTCTTCAAAAGGCATAGTTGAATCAACAATATCAGGTAGATAATCATATGACCAAAGCGTATTTGAAAAAGATTTCTGTTGAAAATTTCACTAGTTTCTATCAACCAATTTTTTAAAGGGATGAAAACAACAAAATCCCAAGAAGTCTTACACAGTTTATATATTATACAACAGAGGTAACTATTAAGCACTACCATGGCATTTAATACCAGTTTACACCGAAAACTAATCAATTACAACTCAATTAACATGATTTTTCAAATTCATTTAGAGAGTTCTGTCTATTGAAACATTTTCAGGGACTTCTCAACTTCTTGAAGGAAAGCAGGGAAGAACAGAATAGCAGATTCTACATCCCCATTGCCAGATGTATAATGACTATAGTAGTACTGAGATCCTGGAGCATGTCAGTGGATCTTGGCACCAATGTCACCAATTTTGTCTGGGTATGGGACAACTCCAATCCTACCTGCTTGCCATGAAACATGAATCAGATGTTCAAAGTAACTTTTTAGCCTTTTTAGTAAAGAGGGGCGGGTAAGTGGTTGCTGAAGAGGGAGGAAGTGAATACCAATCTCCATAGTATGCAAAAAGGGCATGTATATAGGATATGTATGTATGAGGCCCCTCTAGTGGCACAGCAGGTTAAACCACTAAGCTGCAGAACTTGCTGACCAAAAGGTTGGTGATTTAAATCCAAGGAGTGGCATGAGCTCCTGCTGTTAGCCCAGCTCCTGCCCACCTAGAAGTTTGAAAACATGCAAATGTCAGTAGATCAATAGGTACCGCTTCTGCAGGAAGGTAACGGTGCCCCATGCAGTCATGCTGGCCACATGATCTAGGAGGCATCTATGGACAATGCTAGCTCTTCAGCTTAGAAATGGAGATGAGCATCACCCCCCCAGAGTCAGAAACTACTAGACTTAATGTCAAAGGGAAATCTTTACCTTTATTTAGGATGTATACACCCCTAACCGAATTCCAAACACTGGAAGTTACAGTGCTTTATACATCTTTCCTTTGCATGTAGAACTGAACCCAGGAAAGTGGTATGTTTGCTTCTACTAGAAAAAAAGAGTATTTTTCCCAACTCTGAAATAAGGTTATGAAGAAAATGAGTAAGGGTGCTTTGGGATGAAAAATTTGAATGTGATAAACTATCCCGCAACACACCTCTTTTCCTGCAATAACATCCCCATCAGCAGAAGAAGGGGACAGGGAGAAATATCAGTCAGAGATGAATGGTGGTCTTAGTGAGTGGGCATTGCTTTCTGCATCTTTGATATCCACAGTTTCCTGCCGAGGAAAAGTCAGAGGGGAGGTTCAGGTCTTGCATTGCTTGCTGCCTCATCTGCGCCATGCCTTGAAATGTTGCTCTTATACCCATTATGGCAAATGTCCTCTTCTCCAAGAGATAAGAATTTCTCCTCCATTTTAGTTGCAGCAAGATTCTTCAAACCATACCAGAACTGTGAGAGGGAGTATGTTGGCAGAGGTTTATCAAGAGTGAGTGTTTAGTAAGAGTAGACCTAAACAGGCATGAGGCCAAGAACAACCACAAGACAATCAGGAATTCAGAACATTTATTGCAAGAGCTGAATAACTGTAAATAACGTTGAACTGGCAAAGCAGTAACAAGGATAACTGTTCAGATATTTATTCGGTCAAAGTCATCAAACACCCCTCACAAACTGACATAAGTACCGCAGGAAGCAATGCACCCCTAGCCCATTTGATGCTTGTATACTGTGGAGGAAATAAAATGTGAAATGCTATATACAAAATAACTTCACTTAGTATTATTTGCATTTATTTTTTGGTAAGAACAAATTAACCATTGATATTAACTACCTTTTGTTGTTGTATGTAAGACTGATGTTTAACTGTGGCATAAGATAATTTTTGCTTTGTATTTCCCTTTAAGGACTGTTTTTTTCCCCTATGTTGCATGCTATTTGTTTAAATCGTCTGTCATGCCTTAAGAAAAGAAAAAAAATGCCTAAAAACGTTTGGATTAGGATTTGTTAGACGTGCAACTGAGATCTTATTAACATTAAGTGTCACTTTCCTGGATTGACTCAAGTGACACAACACTGGTACCTGCCAGGTATTGACCATCCATGATAACAAACAGTTAAACAGCAAGAATTAGAGCTTGAACCCTTTCATTTCCCCCAACTAGCCTACCAGGAGAATGCTTGGTTACATCATGAAGGCACAACACATTAAATATTTTGTGGCTATGATCTAAAAACACTTGTGTTACTACAACATCAATGCAGATGGAGATCAACACAACCGCTGCCATTTGAGCAATACAAACTGTCTTAGGTATAGACACACACCTGGCCCAATTATAAAGAAAGCAATCATTCAATACTGGTACTGGGTACAATGCACCAAAATACTTTCTTGCAAAAGCGCCACTGAAATGAAGGTGCCCTTGGGCATTACTCCTTCACTGCAATGGGGCCCGGCTAGCAAAATTTCATAGAGGATTGTGCCCTTGGCAAAATATCCTCCACATAATTTTGATTAATATTATTCTCAAGTGTGATTGCAACTAACATTGGAGACTTCTTAAAAATTAAAGCCACTCATTCAGCTGCTGCCACAGTTGATGTCCTCTTTTGCCCCTTTGCTTTGCAAATCAGAATCAACAGCAACATCATATTTTTAAAAGCCCTTGCATTATGTGCATTTATATTTTTGAATTGGTAAATAGTGTTAGCTCATTAGAATAAAAGCAAAATAAGAGATTGCCCCACCCTCCCTTTTATTCAGTTTTTAACACAAGTGTTTTGAGTTCCTTGGAACATTGTGTGTCAGACAGACTACTAACACAGAAACACCATCACCAAAAGAAACATTTTTTTAAGAAAAGAAAAGAACAAGAGGAAGCAAATGAAATAAAGTAGAAAAAGCAACTGTGAAACACAGAATTATGCTACAGTATTTTTAGGTGAACGTTATAAGTACACAAAAGTTATTAATAATAATAATAGATCCTATTTACAAGTACTTGAACACTGATCGACTTAACAAGTGTCCACTAACATTGTTAATAGCACAGTAGGTTTAATGTTTGTAATTTTAGTTGTTTTGTTTCAATAAACATGTCAAGTATAGCAGTCCCAGCACAAGATCAATGGCAACAATAACACAATTTTCTAATCGGATATGCTTTCTAAGAGTTGCAATTCACCTTCTCATTTCTCTTTCTCGCACAGACACTCTCACTCATTCACTCATTCTCTTTCTTTCCATTTCCAAATGTATCTTCTACTGTTCACAGCAGCAGTCCAGGGTCAAAAAAATAAAATAAAAGGAAAGCAAACAAACCTCCCACCCCTTTCCCTAAATAAATTGAAAATGTAAGATATTTGCAAACAAGGGAGATTCTCTGTAAGAGTTTGATTATGTCTATTTAACAAAACCACACAACTAGTAGAAATGCTCTTTTGTATTGTAGTTCCATGGAGCTACCACAAAGATATGCATATCTCAGCTATGTGAAGCATAGTTCTAGAGGTCTACTCAGTACATAAAGCTCTGACACACACACACAGTATTAGCAAATCTAATTAGGCTAAAGTCACTGTTCCAAAGAAGCCATTCCTTATAGCTGGTTCTCCTTTGGACTCTCCACTGCTCCCGAGGCCTGTTTATAGGACTTCAAGTTGGCCAAAGGAATGTCAGTCATGTGATTGCCAGGGTTGAAATGGCCTTCGCCTGAGCCAAACTGCTTTCGGTCATTAAACTGGTTTCTGTTGCTATCTTCTTTCCAGGTTCTTGTCAATGTGTGTCCATTCACCAGTTTGTCTTTCTTAACCCATTCCTTCTGAGGTGCAAAGGTGGAGAGGGGAGACTTTGGCTGCTGGTATGAACCTAAAGTGGGAGGCATCCAACAGTTGTCTGAGTGACCCAGGACAAGGCATTCTTGAGTACACATCTCTGTCGCTTCTGCTAATCCTCGAGGCCCAAGAGGTCCATCTGCAGAAAGGAGTAGGAGAACAGCAGGGGTGGAATGGAGCAGAGAGAAAGAGAGAGAAAAATATGTTAAGTTTCAAAAGAGATACTGCTTATCACTCTTCATTGCAACTAAATTTTGATGCACTCATCAAAATAAATCAGATGCCATAGTGTTATGGAAATTGCTAATCATATCTAAAACAAGAGATTCTAAGGCATCCACTATGGGTCCTTCCACACAGGAATAAAATTGTCTCTGAACCAACTTAAAATAACCCACTTAGTTGTGGGTTTCACTCTCCATCCCCATTTCGCAACCCAAACCTGAGCTTTCCTGGGGGGCAGGTTGGCTACATGCCATCCTGAATCCCCCCATCTACCCCCTAAAACATACTCAAAGTGTCCTTGGCCATTTTTGGATGCCTCTGGTAAAAACTGAGACAGGTTCCGGGTTTTGGGCCTGTCTGGATGGGCCCAGTAAAAGCAGCCAGCTTCATGCTGATAACTCTGGTTATGAATCAACCAGAAGTTTGACTGGCTGCATCTACAATTTATTTCACACCGAAATGAACTAACAATAGTATTTTAAAAAGAAAAAAGCCCCCAATCTTGTTGATTTTTTTCTGGACTTGAAAAATAATGTTTAGAATCTCAGCATGAGTTTATATGTCAACTCAAAACAGTTCTTAAATGTACATTTTAGAAGAGAACACTGACGTGTTTATAACTTGAATTGTTGATGAATTGGTTCCAGACTTCCTTTTAATTCCCATTAGATCAGGATTTCTCAACCAAAGATCCTCGGAATCTTAGCATTCTAAAAAAGTTAACTAGCGGTTCAGCGAGAGATTGTGATTGGAAGATAGAATAATTTTTATACAGGAGTTTCATGAGACCTGGAGATGATTTCAAGCATTCTTCCATGATAAATAGATTGAGGAAAGCTTCATTAAATAGCATAAGGTGTCTCACTCTGTAAATTTATAGACCATAACAGACAAAGAGATACTTAAAACTGGAGTATAAAATAGTCAGGCTCTGTGTGGAAGTATTTTGGATTGTATAATTACCACTTCCAATTTCAAGGAGTTCCTTGCAGGAAATAAACTATTTGCTTTATTGATTGCTTGATTGATTTCCAAACCAACCTTCAACAAATATTTCAAGTATCACTTACAATGAATTAATCTCATAAGGAGAAAATACAAGCCTAATGTTAAGTCACCAGACATCTTTGAGCTGAATTTTTCATTTGTGTGAGGGTTAGGGTCCCCGAGAATAGATCAAGCAACTAATAGTTTCTCATATTTGCCCATATCCACCTTGGTCCCTCTGGGACTGAAAACCACTGGATTTATGGAGAACACATAGAATTTAAGAGTGACCCCTGCAGACAAAATCTCTGCCTTCACATACACATACAGTGCCCTGTTGTCTGTGACTACAGGAATAACTAAAACACAGATGTAAGTGCAAACAGTTAATCAAGGCATTGCCCTTTTTACTATCTCAAGGTGTAAGGATTGAGAGATTTCTTTCTTGCAGTTCAAAATTTCAAACCCACAACTTGTCAGGTAAGAAGAGAGTGTAAAATCATTTACAAATTCAACAACTACATTCTTATGATGAGTGCTAACCTATATTATCAAGCCTGATGTCTTTTCTTTGCATTTTTGTCAAAGGAGCAAAACTACATATGAGTTATTGATTTGACCTGTGTGTTGGTGGTGAGAAAACAAGTAAACGAAAATGTCCTCACAAGTGGCTTAGCTTAACTCCACCCCCACTCCTATCAATAAATTCATATGCTGGTTTTGAATCTAAATATATTACTATTTCAACTGCAAATAACCAAATTGCTTTGTGTTTTCTGAAGAAACAAAGTTGCTTTCTTTAGCCTGTCTGCAGGCAGTCAATTTATTCTTGATGAAAATCAAGTGACAGGAAGGTGATAGGAAGGAAATTACTGATTTATTTGGAGCACCCAGTTAACCGATAGCCAAGAAGACTGCAGTCAAAAGAGCTTTAAAGGGCAACTCAAATCAAAGGGAGGAAAGAAAAGAACACAGAAAGAAGATGTGATCACTGCTGTATCAGCAAAAATAGAGTTTATTACGAATAGGAACAAAGAAGAGGAGAAGAATTGACCTATTTTCAAGACCCCAACAAAGTGGTTCAAAAATGTTAACAAATAGAGATATGCAATATGCAATTCTACCACGTAATAATTGTGTGAAGAGAAATTAGAAACAGATTTTGTACTTCTGATTGAAAGTATTGATGAAGAAGAGGAGTAAGAGACATTTAGGGGGATCTATGTATGATATCTGCCTTCAATCATTTGTTGCTAGATTTGTACTCAAGTAAATGTTAGGTGAAACATGTGGAGAATATAATGGGAAGCCAACAAACTTTCATTAAAACTAATCAAGGTTCTAAATGATATTGTGCATAGCTGTATAGAGAGTTTTTCTGATTTGTACATTATTCTGTGAGAAAATTCAATGGAACTTCAGCATAGGGACCTTTGGCAGAACCATCAGCTTTTTGGAAGTAGGGAATAATTGAACAATTCAATGTTGTTGGCTTCCAGTATCGCCAGTGGTCAGGGATGACAGGAACAGTAGTTCGTGAACATCTTGAAAATTACATTTTCTCCACCATTGTAATTTGTGGAAGAGAGGTGTTGGCTTCAGCCACCATGGTTCCCAAAAAGATGAAAATCACTGGCATTACTGACAATTCTGTCCTGATTCTTTGTAGACTGCCATATGTACAGTTCCAGAGGTTTCAATAGTTCACACGTGAAAAATCATAGGGCCATCATGTTCCAGTTTTCATTCAGTATAGCAATTTAATTTATGTGTCTGCCTGTGACCTAATGTTAATGATGATTCATTCAAAATGCATACAAGAAAATATAAGGAACAATGATGAGCCACACAAAAGAGGTTGTATGGCTAAGGGCCCATGTAGACAGTGCTGAAAGTGGAGTCCTGTTTGTCCAAGGAGGCCAAACTGAATTCAGCTCTGTGCAGTGGTCAAACTTTCATTTTGCATCATTGGTCATCACAGTAGCAATCACATAGCTCTCCAGGCCATTGCTGGGGATGTAGAGAGAGAAGAAAAGGAGTATCATCTCTCCAAGTCACACTGGCATATACAAAGACACACAACAATAGCCCGGAGCTCTCTGGAATTCTGTGGTCACCACTTTAGAGAAAAAAAAAAACCCAAACAAAATATATGCCATCCTGTTTCTCCCAAACAGGATGGTGACTCTGGCCCATGTGAACAGTGGGGACAGTCCAAATTACCAGCCCAACCCTTCATAGCAATCTCAAGCTGTGGGTCTGCTCTGGAGTTTCAGGGAATCTATAAATCATCCCCCAAACAGGCTAACTGGTTTTACAATGCATGAGGGGTTGGAAGTCCCCTGATGTTGTTTGGATGTCCAGGATTGACCTCTGGTCTGGTGCCCTGCCCCCCCCCCCAAATACTCAAGACGATGAAACGGATGAGGATTGGATTGAGAGGATATAGCTCTTTTTAAATTGTTATTGCACTGTCTTTTTTGTCTAAATGCACTTAATTGTTTTTGCTTTTGTATTGTATTGATGGCATCGAATTGTGCCGATATGTAGTCCGCCCTGAGTCGCCTGCGGGCTGATATGGGCGGGATATAAGTTATGTAAATAAATAAATAAATAAATATTGAGATGCAGGCTTGAGGATAGTGCACACCAAGTCTAAAATAGAAAGAGAAGGTATAGCATAGCAATAGGAATTCAATATTTGATCAGTGACCTCCAGTAGCCGGACAGTTTTCTCTCCTTTACTTTTCAGGAGTTTCACTTTATAAGCCAAGTTCTCCATTTGCTAAGTATCTTCTGATAAGCTGTGTTAGGTCAAGTTAAAGATCTAACATATTTTTTCTAATATGTGAATGTACTACCCTTCATTTTATGGATTTTCTTTGGTCAAAAGGATCTGTTTTGCTTGTGTAGTGAATCTTGTATTGGAATTGCAATCAGTGTTTACTACATTGACAGGTGTAAATATAAATATAAAGAAAATGTCTTTATGACAGACAAAATGGACAGAGGGTAAAGACAGAAATTTGTTAGAAGAGGATGCAGGATGAATTCCTGTTGATATAATACAGGGTATTTCTCAAAAGTGTATACACCTTAACAGCTTATAATTCTGGTTTGTTTGTTTTTAGGTGGGTTTTTTTAACCACACAAATATATATATATATACATTCAGCAGTAGAGAAATGTCACAAAATTATCAGAAAAAAAACTAAAATGAATCTTGCAATTCTCAGCTTTCACAATGAAAGCAGTGCATTGTTGCTTCCCATAGGAGACCTGAAAACAGAGCATGTAAGTGATAAGTTTAAGCGATAAAATACTATTTAGGTAAGAGCAGTGGGGATTTATTGTATTCTATAGCTGGTTATCTGATCCAAATGACTTTGGAGGCACCTTTTTTACATCAACTTATCTGTAGAGCTGTTTCAAATGTTATAATGACTTACTGGAGTGATGGAGCCCTTCTTATTAGAAGACGTCTCCCTCATACATCTCTCCTCTCTATCTCCCTTTGCATTCTGCCCACTTGATGTGTTTGTGAGATTGGTTATTTCTAGCCCTGTCATCAATTTGTGGTTCCCAGTAAGTATTGAGACTGGTGGTGGCAAATACTCAGGAATAATTCAAGATAGGACCTTCATTGAAGGGACCGGATTATATAAACAGATGATAAAAAGTTTCTTATTCTTTTCAGGCAAAGGAGAGTTTCAAATATTAAGATGTATACTTGAGCCTCACATTTTGTGAAAGAGAAATCTCTTTCATTTTGTAAGTCAGACCTCTTCTGCCTCTCCCACATGTCTTTAGATGTCTTTGGGATTTTTCTTTAACTGCTATAATCAAAGTGATGCAGGTATTCCATGAAAAGAGGAGAGAAAACAGCTAGGAAAAAGGAGTAGTTTCAGCATATTGTTAACATTTCCA